CTATCCTTGGACAATAACCTTTCTCTAAATATTTCAGCTTTGGTTTCATCCCAAACAAACCGGTACTCGGCCCGCAAATGAGCATCGGGATACTGCACGGGCTTAACGTGGCAGTCACGTGACTGAAACTGACACGATAACGGTAGATGGTCGCAGTCTGACCTAGATACAATGTCGAATTGTTTACAAATTGAAAAGACAGCAGGTGATCCAATGACATAATCAATCACACTTTTACCCGAGTGGCTTATAAAGGTAAAGTCTCCATTGTCAGCGTCCTACTACAGCGGCCATTTAGTATAGAAACATTTAGAGAAGCACAGCAATTAAGTAGCTTTCTCCCAGCATGGTTAATCATTTTGTTGCATGAGTGTCTTTTTGTATTTATTGTATGAAAGAAAGTGTCAATGTCGTCATCTCCCAAGATATCTGCAATGGTGTTGTCAATGTTGACTGCTTCCTCGCCGGTTCTAGCGTTAAAGTCCCCACCGATAATGACAATGGGATCACACATGTCACATATAATATTTAACAGCGATTAAAAAAAAGAAGATAAACCACATGTAAACTGTTTGGTCTTATACCACGGAGAACCAGCAGGATTGATGTAAGCAACAGCGAGGATAATATCCCGGTCAAGATTAAACACAGTCTTGTCAAACACAACAAAGATAGCATTGTCAATTATTTTCACAGAATTCACATAAGGATCAGAAAAAACATTTCCTAACAAAAAGCACTATACCGCCAGAGAGTCGTCCTGTACAAGATGTTTTAACTGCATCAACACAATAACACTTATAGTCAGTGAATAACGCCGAAAAATCATAACCGGATGTCCATGTTTCCGTAAGTCCCATGATATCATAAGACTTGAGAAATGTTATAAAGTTCACATCATCAGCTTTATTATATTACAGAACCCTGCAATATTCCAGAATAGACAGTTGAGTAAACCGAGGCTCCTAGAATCCAGGCGTTGTGTCTGGGGTTGGCCATACCCTTATCTGCTGTTGCTTGTGTTGCTGTTATCTGTCTCATCTATAGTAACAGAGTCAGATGTTTCTCGGGGTTGAGAGTCACGAGGTCGCCTGTCCATCACCACTAGTTTACCATTTTTGAAGAAACCATATTTATTTTGTTGTTTCAATGCAGCTAACGTTTTCCTCTGTTTGATTGTGAGGTCACAGGAGATTCCATGCCCATTAGCTTTTAGCTTGTCACGACACTGTAAGGCACGCTCTTTACACCGAGTAGATGAAAACTTGGCTAATATAGGTCTAGTGCGATTATTTCTGTTAGAAGTAGCACCTAGTCGATGAGCATCGATGATGTCATGGATATGAAATGGCATATCACTGGTGGCATGGCGGGTGAGAATATCACAGACAATATTTCTACAGTCAAGATTAGCTTCATCTGGCAATTCACTCACCCCTTGAATGAGAATATTGTTTTTCCTGTTGAACTGTGCCATTCTTTCCAGGCTATCCTGAATTTCGTCCATGTCCCCTCCGAGTTTATCGAAGGTTGACTGGTCACTGCTCCGTTCCACACTATACAATCTTTCAGCGACCGCGTCCAAATCCAAACGCAGAATATTTTGCTGAGATTTTATGTCCTCAATGTTCTCCTGTATTTCTTTAACAGTTATGTTAAGTTTCCTCGTATCGGCTTTTACATCTCTTATGTCGCGGGACGGGTCACTTTTCAGTGAGCGAAGCTCGCGTAGAATGTCATCTTTAAGGGTCGCCAGCTCGCCATCGTCAGAGTTTTTCAAAAGAGGACCGGGGTTGGTTTCAATATCTCCGGATAGGATAAGAAAGTTAATGCACATTATATTACGTGTTAGCACTGATATGCTGCCTAGTACCAACAATGTTGCCATAAGCCGATAGCCTACATCCACATTATGAGACCATTTCGAGAATGGGGTACATGACGCAACATGGCCGACTTGCCTTGTGCCTCGTGGTTGACGAAAAAGTCAAATTTTCATCCTCCATTGTCCTAGAGACACCCCCATAACGCTCAAAACGTCCGCGTTCCGAATTCGCTACCTATATGTTCGACTGGTGTCGACTTTAGGTATTAGGCGAAAATGCCTATTTTCGAGCTTTCGGTCGGGAGCTCCTGCACACACGTCTTGCCTACAGCAAGGCCGATAACTCCATTTCATTGATCAAGATCACATTCAATCCCCATGTCGAAGAATATTTATTTAAAACAGGTAGCCGTATACGAGAAAAGTGAAATGTCATCGACACATTTGGCTTGCTGAGCACAATGCCTGTAGCGTAAACAAATGATCGATTTAGAATAGGAAACAAGATCCCAAGTCGTGTGTTTTCTAAATTAGACGTAGAAACCGTCACTGATATGTTCAAAAGAGAAATGCTCCTATAGTTGATAGGATCCGTCTTAATTCGCCTTCTGTATAGTGGTAATACCATCCTTAGAGTCCACGACACAGGAGACAATCTGCAACCATGCTGATGCAAATATTCTTACAATATTGATAATTTACTACAAAAGACGATTGGATGTTACTATAGATGAGCCTGTTCGTTGAACAGCTGACAAACATGACATTCATCTTTACCAACCATGTGCCTATATGTGTGTGTTGTTTCCACTGATTTAAATTTCATCTGAGGTTTAAAACTATTCTTTATGTTTTGATATTTTTTATTGCTTTACACCACTCAACTAACTCAAGTCGTCTCACAATGTCAACATGCTCATCATATTTATATGAGACTGGTCCACGTTTATCAAAAAATACAAGTCCTGGATAAGCAGGAACATTTACAACAAGAATCCTCTTTTGCTTGTGATCTTTTGTGTCGATGCCGACTGATAATTTCTCTTCATCAACATCAAAGTTTTCAGTCACTGCAACCATTTCCCCCTCAATTTTCTCCTTCAGAATGGTCTTCAAGTTGCTTTCTTGTCTATTTGCGACAGGAATGCCTGATACATCAGAAAATTTCGTCTGGTATCGTGTTAGGTCTCTAACTGTTTCACTTATCCCACAGTAGTAGGTCCCACCCTCTTCCAATTTGGCAAAAGCACTGATGGTTTCACCTAACTTCAGCTTGTCCCAGATTATGTCTGCTATGCTTGTGTCAGTGACAACTTTAATGTCGTCAGGAAATTTCTTCAGCTGTACATGTCTACTTTCATGGAGACCATCACACGTGGTATGTCCTGTTGGAAGTTGTGGCTTGTTCCTATCCTGCTGACTTCTTGATGGCAGGTCTCTCATGAAAGTTCCAAGACTTGCCAGATCAAGCTCAAGAAAACAGTCATCCAAAGGCAGTTTCGTCTTCATGTCCACAGTGGATAATGTGTTGCTTGAAGCAACGTCAAACTGTATCACATAGTCATGAACATCCAAACGTTTCCGTTTGAAGTTATTAAAAAATAGTTCACCAGGGGGTAAAAGTCCATTCAGTTTTGTATTAACCATCTCATCAAACCCTCCAATGTATGTTCCAGGATCGGCCTCGTCCTTACCAACAAAATGTACAATAATACTCCCGCCACCAGAAATGTTTTGTAGAGCACAAACATTTCGCATGAAGTGATTCATAACTGCTCTCCGTTCATCATAGAGCTCAGGATTCTCTTTTTTTCTGTTTTGGTGATTTACTGTTGACAGCTGCTATGTCCATGTGCATACTCAGCACTTGTCCCGTAGCACCTTTTCTGACTTCTGAGACGCATTTGGCGCACAAAGGACACGATGTATCTATCAACATTATATATGAGGGAGTTAGCTCTTTTCCCTGAACTTCATATTGATGCTTCTTGAGAACCGTTTTCGTAGTTCTGATTACATCATCAACATCTGGGATAGATTTTTTTCCTTCAAAGTTAAGGATTACCGATAGAGATCCATGATTATATAAGCCTCAAAAAAAGTTCTTTAAGATGGTCTTTGTATTTGTTATGCTCCTGGAGATGCAGACATCTCACGTTAGGAGAACTCTGACTTTGCCCCAAATGGTGTCTACAGTTATCACATGGTTCTGCAAACAAACCATGTGGTAACATGTATAAAACAGTTTAGAAACATACATTATATACTATACATATGTTTACTTATCACTATCACAACATACACACACACTAAGCGTTATTAATAAAGGGTCAAGTTATATATAACACACCTAAAGAAAGGTTTCTCAGAAATAATAGAACTAAAAGCGTCATGATAATGTTTAATGTGTTGACAAACGTGAAACATCGTGACATACAGACAAAAAGTTCAAACAGCACTAACAATCGTCACTTGTATAGATCAACCCTCCAAAATGAAAATGACAAACATGAAGCGCTCGGACATTCAATATCTTGTGTACCCTCCAAGACACAGGTGCTTCTTGTTCTCATGCTCCTTATCAAGTTCACAATGAAAACTTGCGGAATCGTATTCCATTCCTCTACTAGAGCTCTGCAGAGTCCTGGGAGATCCACTGGTGCTGGGTGACGTGTGTACACAAATCGACTGAGTTCATCCCATGCATGCTCGATTGGGTTGAGGTCTGGTGAGCATGCATATATGCATATATATATATATATATATATATATATATATAAATAGTTTAGCGGTAATCTCCCGTATTGCCCACCTTCAAGTGGTTAATAACATGTTCGCCACTCTTAAGGACTACTTCCACATTCTGTTTTTACATCTTCTATTGCCCTAAAATGAGAGGTATCCCATACATTGATCAATGTCAAAGTATTTGCAGAATAACAACAGCAAATATCTTGACAAAGTCGAGGTGTGGTATAGTAAGTTGAGTAAAATCCGGCTTTTAGTCTCACAGAAGACCCAAAAAGACTGCCTTTGTGTCAGTGTGGTAAGTTTTAGATTAGCGTTTGAATGAATTGACAAAGTTATAAAAGTTCGTGTAGTCACACGAGATAATATTACAATGTATAAATATCATTTCGTATCGTACATAAAGTTTAAAGCATATTCCACCAACCTGCAAAATGATCTTTTGGAACAGATTTCTTGGCCTATATGGGAAAAAAGAACTCATTTTAGTAATCATGAAAACGTATTCTGTGAACGAATCGTATTATGACAATTGATCTCTTATACATTTTGAATCATTCTTAATACATATCACCTGACAGCGTGACACCACTCTGATACATGAAGACACTGCTAGTGATGAATCTACGGTTGTGACATAGCTCGGTGCCATTAAAAATTATTCATTATTTTTCAAATAACATTTTTGACTAAGTATATATACTGATGATGAGTTTGACCATTGATTACTGACAATTCCGACCTCTCTCTGTACAGTATCACACAATTCATGTAGGCTCATGTAACGTAATAACATTGCATGACTTTATACATCAATTGACATAAAATTCATCCATCCATTCAAACTTACACGTTTGGGTGTTGACTTTGTCTGTCTCGCTCCTGTGCGTTTTCGCCCTGACATCATCACTGTGTGTGTGTACAACAACAGTCTAGGTGGCTAAGGTAGCGTCACAGGTTTATACCTTTACTCTAATTTGAACGACGTTAAATGGGCATACACGGACCAACGAGTGGGGACTGTGCTTCAATCATTATCATGCTTTATATAAATAGAAACTCAGCAGAAGGCTCAACTACAGTCAGTCGCGCTCTGAGAAGACAGAATTTTGTTAACTCACACGGGACTTCACACACACTATCAAGGGTCAGTGACATACTTATTTGTGTACATGTTATATTATTTGGTACCAAACTGATCTTGGAAGACATTGATATACTACTCAAACATAGTTAATTAACGCCCGAAGTGATCATCATCTTCAATTTGTATTTATAAAGGGTTATAGTAATTCACTACATGTAAAAGATCAGATCTGTTGAAAAAAATTAATTTGGTACGGGAACGCTATGTTATTTTCAAAGAAAACACGTACATTTCACATTGTGTGATTTATAGTAGCATGGGAAGCAATTCAAAGGCTAGTCATCAAATTACTAATACCTTGGACCAGTAATAAACCGTTATGGGAAAATTCATTTTGGTTCGTCTATTTCAATATGACGATCACAAGCTATGCTTAAAGAACATTAACTTACTAGCTTTAGAAATATCTAATATACGGTGCTAATCTGTGTTCATACATTATAACTAGTAATTGTAATTGGTAAGCTGATAAGTGAAAGCATATACCATTCATTATGACTTTTTCATCTGTTTTTCACGTTTTGTTTATCTTTGATGTTTCCCAAGAATCGAGTAAAATTGCATCTCATCTGATATGTGTCGTCTTGTATTTTAGACTAAAATGCAAGGTACAGTTCGGATTGTACTGGTGGGTAAAACTGGAAGCGGCAAAAGTTCAACTGGGAATACCATACTTGGAAGACCAGCGTTTGAATCCGCTGCGAGGGCTATCAGTGTGACCAGAAACTTTCAAAAAGGAACACGTGTTCGTTACGACAAGGTCATAGAGGTTTTGGACACACCACACATTTTCGGGAGAGGACAAACTGTTGATGAAACTGTGGATGAACACTTGAGTTATGCTCCTCATGCCATACTCCTTGTAACACAAGTTGGACAAACAGATGAAACAACAGCAGATATGGTAATTGATATGATCAAGGAGTTTGGGGTCAATATTGAGAACTATTTGGTTTTTGTATTTACCAGGTCAAATGAATTGTCTGCATTCGGTATGTCACATGATCAATTCATTCAAAAGTTGCCAGCCTCCATGAGAAACACAGCAAGTAAATGTCCGTGTGTGTTTCTGGACAATGAATCTTCAAACTCAGAAAAAGAGGACACGGTTCAAGAACTACTGTCTGCAATAGAAGGTATGACACGGCGAAATCGTCCAGAACATTTACTGTTCAGACGGCAGTACTATCTTCGACCACGAGTTTAAATACTACCAGTAAAGGAAGGATCTGAACAAAGCTGGAAAACAATACAATAACTAATCACTATTAAGACTACTAAATGAAAAGTGTTACATAACCATAATTTGAAATTGGACCTTCAACTTATCCTGATTAGACGGAGAATATATACTGAGTCAAGAAAGAGACTTCACATTCTTTCTTCAGGGCACTATAAAAGAACAAGAGATGGTAAGATGGTTAAATTGTTATTATTTCATTGCTGAGATCTGTGTGATGTACTCGATACACTGACAGTGCCATAATCAGTTCCATTAGGCTACACCGCCGTTCCAAAACATGGGTATACAGAATGTCAAGTCACAAGAATACAAATGCAAAATTTCTCAGTTCAATATCGTGTATGGCCGCCCCGCGCATTCACCACTGCCAAACACCGTCTCCTCATCGACTGCCTGATGCTTGTGAACACTTGGTTGGGGATTCAGCGCCATTGCTCTTGCAAGGCAGCGCCAGGTTCCTGCAAAATCTGAGGTTGGTTCCTAAGACCACGACGCCTTCCCCCAAGTGCATCCCAAACGTGCTCTATTGGATTAAGGTCAGGGGACCTCGATGGCCAGTCCATGACGTTGATTCCAGCGTTTTGAAGGAAATTTCGTGTCAACATCGCGGTATGCGGCCGAGCATTATCATGCTGGAACTGCAGACCTGGGCCATGATCCGCCATGAAAGGAACGAGTTCAGGGGTGAGCACCTGGTCGCGGTAAGCAGCAGCTGTGAGGTTTCCACGGATGACCAGAAGTCGGAACGGTTGTTCCCACAGAAAGCACCCCACACCATGCAACTTCCGCCCCCGAATCTGTCGACTTCCTGTACACAACATTGGGCAAACCGTTCACGACGTCGTCTCGAGACTCTATGCCTGCCGTCCGCGAGGGTAAACTTGGATTCATCGCTAAAGACCACTCGATTCCAATCTCTCTGGGTCCATCGGAGGTGACGTTGGGCCCACAGCAGACGTTGACGTTGATGAAACGGCGTCAATATTGGCCCACGATATGGACGTCGAGAACGGAGATTGGCAGCCCGCAACCGATTTCGAATGGTCTGTAAGGACAGTCGACCTCTAAACATCTCAGCCCTGGTTCGTGTAGCCGGCAGAAATCTGTCACGTAGATGACGTAGGACGATTTGACGGTCTTCTGCTCGTGACGTCACACGTGGACGACCCGACCTTGGGCGATCAGAAGTGGTGCCAGTTTGTTGTAGACGACCTCGCAAGTCATACACAGTACGACGGCTGCTTCCAATTGCTCTTGCGACGTCAATAACTGATCTTCCCGCTTGCAACACGCCAACGGCACGTTCACGTTGCACATTTGACAATCGTGGCATTTCAAGTACCGTTAGAACTGTGGTTTAAAAGTGTTTTTTTCAATTCTTGAGGCCAATGCAAACACGTGCATATTGCAGAAAACTTCGATGCGAAGATCACGTGATCGACTGCACGTGCAAAACCTGATTTGGCACTAACGAGGAATTGATGGGTTTGAGTGGGTTTTGCTAACGTTTTTCTAGAGTCGAAAGATAGGGATCCCATTTCGGATACGTACATGTATCATCAGTGAAAAATTATTCATTATTTTTCAAATAACATTTTTGACTCAGTATATATACTGATGATGAGTTTGACCATTGATTACTGACAATTCCGACCTCTCTCTGTACAGTATCACACAACTACCCTCTCTCTCACTCTCTCTCTCTCTCTCTCTGACCGCCTCCGTGGTGTAGTGGTTAGAGCATCCGCCCGGAGAGCGGAAGGTCGCGGGTTCGATCCCCGACCGCGTCATACCAAAAGACGTTAAAATATGGTACTTGTTGGTCCCTGCCTGGCGCTCGGCATTAATGGGTACAACAAGGACTGGTTGGTTCGGAGTCAGTATAACGTGTCTGAGTGGGGTATTCAAGCTTCACTGCGGCATAGTATCTCAGTGGGCTAGCACTATAAAACCAGCTTCAGTCTGGGCTAGTACAAAAAGCCGCACATACACATACACACGCATGCACGTCGTCATTTGAGCGAAATATTTTCAAGCACGACGTAAAACCCAATTTCACCTCAGCTCACCAGATGATGATATTTTGAGGAAGGCATTAACAGAGAACTTTGTAATGAAACATACATTGGGCCCTCACATAAAGTTTCATATCTTTAAAGTTATAACTTTATAAATATTCTCTTTCATGTAATCAAAATACTTTTTTTTCTAAACGATCTATAGTTTGATAGTTTATCCATCTATATTGTGGTATTACACAGATATGATATTAAGCAGATATGATATTATGCACCCCAAGTACTTACAATGTCGTATCGGAAATATTCATTGTCCTGCAGCAACAACAGGTGTGCATTGTCTGCCGATTTAAAATAACAATATCAACCGGCATACCATGCAGATTTTATGTGGTACAGGAAAAGGTCGGCATCGGCTCAGTGTCCAAGCAAATATATGTTGTCACAAAAAATCCATCGAGGACACTTACGCAATGGACTAATAATATATTTAAACGATTTCAAATACAGAACATCAAAAAAGGTGTTCAAAAATGGTGTGTGTATGGTGTAATGTGCAGATTAGCCAAGAAGAACGCGTTGTTCACCCTGTAAGTCCGTTCAGGCAGACGAAAATATCTCTATTCGTTAAGTCGGCAAATCACAGATGCATGTTACTGTGAGTACTTGATAACTGAACAGCAGCTCATCTGATGAGCTGCAACGTCGCTGCAATGGATGAGAAGAATTTCACTTTATCATCGACACCACAATACTGTATAAAAATCTCGAACAACCTCTGCGTTTTGCAGGTATATATCGTAGCTCTTTCCAAACGTATTCATCAAGTTTCATTCACCATTTTCATCTAAGAAAATTTTGATACCTTTTCGATAGAACGTAGACATTATAGTTTGTTGGACCACTGACTTCAAAATACTGACTTTATGCATTTCATTTGTGCAATGGTACATTATGTTTAGCACTATCTATGTGCACAAACCAGCCGTTTCATCCAAATTGAATAAACTAATGAAAAAAATCAACAACAACATTCATAAAAGTTGTCAAACGTACATATAAAATTACTATTTCCATCTTTTTGTGCGATCATGTAATGTAAGTCAAGTCACTAGCAAGTGACACATCTCGGCTCTCGCTCGCCGCCTCAATCTTCACGCTCGGACACGATGTTTAATGCGAAAATATATACATGAAGCATTTTTGTCACAGGTCATAGCCTAGCACGATAAGTCGAATAAGTTCCATAATTTACGTATAGGTAGCGATTTCTTACTTAATATGTTCAGAATAGCATTATTTTACCCAAAACTTTTGTCTAAATCTAAAAGTTTTTGTTTACGAGGACGGTATCCATTGCCGTAATATGATTGGCTGCCTTAGGTCACGTGTCTGATTTTGACCAATCACGACCCTTATAGCAGACGGTGGCGAAAAAGCGTCATTAGAAACCAATCTGTATCCAATAAAATCGCTTCTTTCATAGTGACATTGACACTGAGTTGACATGATCGGCTCAATTATACTTTACGATTGGTGTTAGTCGCATCAAAGGTAAATAAGCGTTCACT